AGAGAGCACGCTCGTTTTATTATTGTTCTTGTTTTTTTGTATTGTTTCGCCAGCTCATCCCCGGCGAGTGGGCGATGTCAGCGCCCGCAAACCTGACATGAGCCGAGCCGCTCCGCTTGACGTTTCACATCAAAGTAGCACATCGTGAGAAATGGGGCTCCTGCTCGTTGACTGTGATCCTATTCCGCGTGTCTTGAGCCTACCCCCTTAGCAGTCCCCCGCACTCCCTTGACGAACCCCCCCGCCCTCTCTCTCTCTCTCCCACCTCCACCTACCCCCACCCACCCACCAACTCTCACCGCCCGTTCGGCATGTACGCCAGCGTTCCGCAGGCGATTAACGCCCCAGACGGGGAAGTTTCGCGTGCGGCAGCAGGCAACGCAACCGGCTCGGGCCGATGTCGCCGAGGTCACGGTTCTTAGTGCGCCGTGGAAAACCGACACCGGGGGGGGGGGGGACAGAAGAAAACAACACAAGGCGGGAGGGAGACAGCTAGTTTGTGCGGCAAAACGAGTGTGGGAATGTTCAGAGGGGAGGGGAGAGCAAGGCGAGCAAAACTCCAAAGCCGGTCGACGACACTCGACTGCAAGTCGCAAAGAGGCCATCCATTGAGTTGGCACGCAAAAATCTGTCAAAAGTTGACCCCTCCCCCCTCCTCCCTGTACGCACGCGGACTTTTTACACCCCCCCCCCCCACCTGCGTACGTGCGCCTGACGCCCCCCCCCCCCCCCCCCCCCCCCGATCCTATAGAACGGCCGATATTTACTCCACGCAGAAACGATCAAGGATGAATAATATTAACGTGTTTAAGCAAACAGATAGTCCACCGCCGGACTATCTAACTCATTTGAAGGCTAATATAGACAAATTATTATCGAGGCTTCACCCCCCCCCCCCCGTTTCCTATTGTCAGTAGACCCCCCATACGCAAGCGCACGCATTTGGGTTAACCCCCCCTCTCCCTCTCCATACGTACGTACTAAATGGATGGCCCCAAACGAGTCGATGCGGTGTCCGACGTTTTTCTTTGGTCCACGCGCGCCGGGAGCTCCCTCCCCGCCGTGCCGAACGATGCGCGGGTACGAGCCGAACACCCTTCAGAGAGCCACGTGCCCGGTGATCGATGGCACCGCCGTGTTCGCTCTTGACGACGGCGGCGGTGCAGTGCCGGATGATCCTAGTAGCACAAGTAGCTACATATGCACTACATACGTATGTAGTAGCTACATATGTAACTACGGGCCCCGCACTTCCAAGGGCCCCGCGCTAAATGCTTTCAAGCTGTCAATTCCGGTTCAGTGATTCTGCACTTGCTATATTACTATAGTACTATACCACCTTCAACTTTTAGGAACGACTGGGTGTTTACGGTTAGCGATTTGTCTTATCTGTCTGTATAGCAAATGAAAAAATACAATAACTTTACTGTGCAAGTAAAAATTTTATGTTTGTATATTCATGTTTATTTTAAAAATTTAGGGCCCCTTTATAACATATGCTACAGGCCCCGCACTAGCTTAATCTGGCACTGCGGCGGTGCGTACGGGTGTGTACGCGGCGGTCTGTTGGATACTCAGAGGCAATGCTGTTAGAAGCATCGTGACGTAACAAAATTGAGCGATACGATCTTGGAAAGTTACTTTTTACCGTGTAGCGTAATGCATTTCATCTGAGCGAGATTAAATTACGCAGTGTTTTTGCCCGGCAGGACACCAAAGTGCAAAGATTAAGCGTCGCGATAGAGGACTGTATTCTAAGAAGATTACGCATTCCCACGCAGCTACTGGCGTTGCTTATCTCGAGGGGGGGGGAGGGGGGGGGAGACAGTGGCTTTTAACACTTCAGCATTTGACAGGAGAGCGTGAGGGGGTCTCCATCATCCCCCCGCGCGATCGCTTTCATCTCCCGCATCGCCTCGCTCCGAGCGCGTCGGATTGTCGTCAGCCGTCCCCTGGCGCGCAGGGCCCTCGTGCGCGCGTCGCCGCGTCGTTGTGCATGAGGCCAGCCCACGGCGATGTTAAAAACACAGAATTTCCTGCCGGCCGGCCAGCCGGCTGGCCGCCGCCGCCGCTGCCGCCGGTGCGATCCCTGCAATTTTGGTCTTAAGATTTCCAGACCGCCCCCGTGGCGGTGTCGCCAGAGGCACCGCTCCGGCGATTCTCCACCACGACGCTCACCCTCCGCGGGAGCGTCGCGGTGGTTTCTCTGAACAACGCCCCTATCGCGTAAAGCAAAAAAAAAACACAAAAAGGCCCCACTCTTGGTCGGTTGTCGGCGTTTGCAGTTTTGGCACACGTGAGACGCAAGTCACCGCGCGCGTAAAAAAACAAATTTTTAGCCAAATGCCCTCTCAATTTAAAACTGAAAGAATAGCAAAAACAGGCCACAGCAATACGGCAAAAGATGAATTAATCATTACCCCAGTCATAATCACAACCTTTTGCATACTCTTTGGTTCTATTGGGTAAAGTCACGTAGGTGAAAATAAAATAACAAAAAAAATTAACAAACCTTTTGCATGCCGATGCGTTGTCGGGGTTGTACCGCGTGCTGTTCGGGATTATGTCCAATGTTCCCGTTGCACCCGCTGCAAACTGAATATTAATTTCCTGAAGAAGCTCCCACCACGTGAAGTGAAACGTCAGACCTCGTGCCGAACACGGCACAACCCAAAAAAAACGTCGGAGAGCAGTGCAGGACAGCCGCGAAATCCTCCGTAGTGGTATCATACGGTTTATTTTCTCAGTCTGTTTTTGTTTTTCCAGCTGAAATTCTCATCCAATACAACACTGATCATTGCAGCCTGATTATATTCATCCGTGACGTGCGATTTGGATCGACGGTTCCATACCAGGTGGCTGCACAATATTTTAGCCACCGATTGGTCAGGCGGTTTTGGCACTGAACCAGTTTACGTGGGGTCAGCGATTAAATTCCTACTGCTGCCCGAAAATGTCTCTGGGTCATTTACCCAGAGGCATGCAAACTGATGGAAGCGAGTGGTTAAGGCATGTTACGGGCACGTTTCTCAATAATAATAATCCATCGTATGTCTGTGCCACAGCTTAAATGACAAAAAAATACATCCTTAATTACAACTAGGATGTAATAATAATTATCATCATCATCAACATCATTATCACTGCTCTGTTTGGAAGAGCAGCTGCTCTCTATTGCAAACGAGAGATTACCTCAACGGGCTTTCACATGGTTAAATAGCAGGAAGCAGGCATAAAATAAAAAGTGGCTTATTTAATTATCTGTTTCGTACAACTTGAAAGGAGGCGATGCAGAAGGTCCCGCGTTATTGCTATGTATTACAATCTCGTCGTGCCAAAGGAAGGTTTCTCGAGTGATGCCCGATGCCAAATGTGTGCAAAGAAACAGATGGTGTAAACACAGATTTTCAGTCCACATTGGCCGTCAGGGACATTTGTGTATTTCATCAACGAACATTTACAAATATTTATAAGTTCCTCCGGCTACGCACGTCCAAAAGAACTCACTGCATGCAAACAACTCCTGAAAAGAAATATTACACGACACCTAATATGTACATTTAGCCATTCAGTATGTTGCTGTTTCGTTAATGAGGGCATGAAGATTTTAGCGGAATGAAAATATAACAAGGTGCTGGCTCTGTTTAACATTCAAATTGCATAACAGCATCTGGAAGTGTTTCAACAAATTACAAAGTTATTTTTCCAGGATCCATTGCTGCTTACTTATCTTTCACCTGAGTGTACATTTATATAAAAGTTCTCACCGGGTTTTAAATAAAGACATTCATGCGTCTATGTGTCTACAATCCCAAGGATGATTGAGTGCCACATAACAGGTGAACATTTAGACAATATCTCCTACTATGCCTACAATACCGTACGGTATGATTAGGACTTTCAAAAGCCTCCAAATGCAAACAGCACCGAGGGCTGCGACATTAAGAGACAGTGGGATTGACGTCTCGCGTGTGTAGGCTGTGCAACTGCACCGGGGCCCTCTGGCTGGAGATGCCCAGGCACCAATTTCATTATTTGAAACCAGTGGCTCTGCCAACCATGCAATGCCACTGCTAACACATTGTGGTGGATCATGACTCTGGGTTGATGAGAGTCACCGACTCCATTTTCGGGTTTTTCACTTTGGGACGACGGAGAGTATGAGTGAGTACAGGAATATGATGGAGCCAGTCCTGAGCAATTGCCAGACCGGTTATCCTGAAAAGTAATGTGGACCTCAGTCAGCGCTGCTGTCCATCAACAACACAATTAGTCATCTCATCATCTGTCGTTGATCTACACACTGCTAGATGAAGGCCTCCCAAAAGCCATCGCCATCCCACACAGTCCTACGGTGCAACGATCCGTGTAGCTCAATTACCCCCCCAAAAATATGCCACAGTTAAAAAAATGCATCTTGAAAAGCGGCATTTTTAAAACTGGTTGGGAGGATTTATTTAATGGAGTATCGACATCTTTAAGTCACCATCCCATTAGCACTGGCGTTTTCAGGGACGTCATTGCGAGGAGGGGACATGGGGTGGTGGGGTTCTTAGGAGCAAGACGCGGAGGGCGTGAGAGGGAGAGGGCGAGCTAGGAGGTCGTCTGTTTGACCCCGACCCTGACGCCTGCTGTATATTTGGAGTTTGCATGTTCTCTCTCCCCGTGATTGTGTGTATTTTTCTCCGGGTCCTCCGAGTTTCCCTCCACATTCATAAACATTCGTTTAGAGCATTCGGCTGCTATAAATTTCCACGTGATGATAAGCAACTTCGTCGAGCTATCATTTGTGATAGCCAGGTCGCTTCTGAAAATAAGAGAGCTATATTGCTCAGTGGGCCTTACCTGGTAAAATAAAAAAAATAGTTCAGTTTTATAATGTACAGTTAGAAGAGATGAGTGAGGGTGGGAGCGAGCGAGCGAGCAAGTGAGGAAGGGAGGAGTTCAGGGAGGGAGCGAGGGGATGAGGGAAGGAGCGACGGAGCGAGGGAGGGGCTCACCTTCCAGGAACGGCACCCACTCGTAGTAGCGACCCATGAAGGGCTTGCCATTGTAGGATGAGCACTGCATCTCGCGGGCGTCGCGGCTCCCAGCGGAGCACGCCTGGGTGGGGGAGAAACGAGCACGCAGCCCGACGTCACGGCGACGTCGACGCACCGGTCGAACAAACAGAGAGGCCGCGAGCCGGGGCGCCTTCTTCTTCGTGTCGCCGTCGTTATTATTTGTTCCCTGAAAGCGCATTTCGGACCCTGTTTGTGGACAGGGAAGCACGCGAGTGAACGGGACGATGACACGATGTTTGTACTACGTCCAAAAACAACTTCTCGACCGGCGGGCAGATTGAGTTGTTCATGAAACGAGAGCCAGGCAAGGCTCAAAAGCATTTTTTTTAACCATCTCGTGGACAAAAATAGTGGTTAAAGCGCGGCTGGGGTGCAGGACTCTGACACACCCCTCCATTACTAAACCCATTGAGTGGCTTATGCATAATCCGAGAATTTAACACATGCCAAAGATCATTATGCCCCATGCCAACTTTTCCAAGCTGCCGGGCCCTTTTTTCCTCTGTAAATAAATCCTGCGCCCACAATAGACATAACCCCTGCGAGTTGTTTAACCGTAAACACTGCCACATTCTAATGCAAGGCTCTCGATGACTACGTGCGGCTCGATTGCATCTCCGAAGGCAACTCGTGCAAACCGACCTCCGTCTCTGCCGTTTAGCGTCTCTCGCTACGGGGCCCACTTTTCCCCTACGTGGCCACAATATCATCGGATTCAATTGATGCGGGGCGAAAGGCATCCTAACCGTTCGTCCAAGTGAATGTGTGTGCCAGATCGGGCCGTTTTTATTTTAATTTATTTGTGATTTAAAGGAAGAGCATTACGGGGGCCACAGTGCTTGCTGTGTTTACAAGTCTCCACGGCAGCCTGGCAGTGGCTGCGCTCTGTCACCGTTTCTCTTCGGAGTGGCGCTGCTCCACGCCGCGAGAATAGCGGCGTTAACCACAGCGGGCGTGCTGAGACGGAACTTGAATGGCCCCTTCCTCGTCTGGCTCCCCCGCGCAGGTGCCCACACGAAGTAACGTCTACTCTGGGTGCCAGTAAAGTAAAGAGATCGTTATACAACCACTGATTAAGAGTCATCCATTCATCTATTCACTGCGGGATGAAAGCCTCCTCAAGCCGCTGCGATCCCTCCCGGTTCCTGCGAGGCAACGGTCCACGCAGCTTGCGTGCACATGAGCTGATTTCATCGCTCCATCTCCGCTAAAGAATGGTTTACGTCCCCTCCTTTTGGCTGCTACTCTGCCATTAAGTCTCGACCACCAGCCGTCACCGCTTCTCGTGACGAGCCCGACCGAAGTGCACTTATTCTTCTCAACGCTCAATAGGATGTCAATGAACTTGTGCACGCTCCCTTAATCAACGCGCTCCTTCGACTCTGTCTCAGTGTAATATTGCTAGGCGTGATGACAGTGTATGGCCTTGCAATCACATGGATGCAATCCAGACAGCGAGTTAACTAAACTGCAGCTGCAAAGGCCAGCACTAGCAAAAGTTTTAAAAAGCCAAGCGAAAGTGATTTCGCGCTCACATGAGCGTTGGGGCGATGCTCAGCCAGAGTTGGAAATCACTAATTCCAATGACAGGGGCCAGACAACTATTGTCCTTATCCAACAAAGTGGTACCCAATTTATCACCCCCCAGGGGGATGATTGTCTGAGTGAACCCCCAACCAGGATTTGGACTCACAACTATCTGACGCTGGCAATACAGGGTCGTGCGACCGACATATTCACCTCTACAGCTAGGAGGATCGGTGCATTTAACCTTCGAACAAAGACGGTCAACGCATCGCGCGCTTTCAGATGCGCTTCCACGGCCGTCTCGAACGCTCTTCCTTCCGATATTAGGTGTGCACTTTAAAATTCAGATTGAAAACTCCTTTCTTTAGAACTGATTTTTGTGTCTAGCTTGTTGTCCTTCCCCCGCAACCGCCGATCAGCACGGTTGGCTACGTACGGTGCGAAAGAAGTTTAACATACACACATTGTGAAAGGTAGAGAGCGGGATAAATGTGTGCGTGGGAAATTCGTTCGTGGGATGCGTCGCAAGCAATAGCTCACAGAGGCGCAGTGCAATAAATTCCGTGTGCAGCGGAGATCCGAGTTATTAATTGAGATAATCCATCACAAAAATACCATGGGATTACAGGGCCCCTTGGCAGCCTCGGCCTGCTCACAGATAAATCTGTGGCAAGACTGATAGTTGACTCGCGGAATACATTGGTGCCTGTGATAACGTAATATTTCCCCCGACTCTAAATGTACTAAAACTTTAATCCTGCTCATAATGAGCGGAATTTAACCTTCGCGTCCATGCCTGCCGACCGGGTAAAAAAAAGGGGTGTGCAAAAACCCGCACTTAATTCCTCCACAAGGAATGCACCGACCTGTCGTACTCTAGTTTTGCACGTCACTTCTCACCGTGTGATGAACTGTGGAATAACCGTGGTACGAAGCTTATGAGATGAACACATGTGCCCCAGAATGTGCGTACAAGTTTGCTAAATGAGGCAAAAAAATGACTGTTGAAGCGACAAAACTGGACAGCGCAGAGGAGCGTGTAGATCCGGAGGAGCTGTTGAAGGCAAATGGGGATGAAACTGATGGATTGAAGTGGGAACCGAGAGCGGGATGGAGATGACGGCTGGAAGGCCCCGACGACCGACGAATGAGACCGGTGACAGAATAGCAACCAAAGCAGGAATCACGCTGAGATGATGTCCACTGCACAGAGGGAGGAACAACGATATGATGAGCTCATCTGCAGGACCAAAGTGGATTTTGTAGCATCGCAGGACAGCGTGGGTTGGTGACGGCGTGGGGAGGCCTTAATCCCGGGGTGGACAGAACAACGTCTGATGACGGCTATGAGAAGCGACCCTCCCCCCCCCCCCCTCTATTTTGTACAAATCTATTTTTTTTGCTCGCCTGCTTGTCACAGCGGCACCAACAGTGAAACCATTCTTGAACATTTCCAAGCCATTGTACTGTAACAATAACAGAAACAACGGAGTCGTGAATTAAAGCGAACGGCAAGTCACGAATAAACACAATAATTTCAAGAATGAACCGTGCCATTGAAAACGTGACATTTCATTGGCATCAGAAGGTGGGAGGCTGTTTCCATCTCGCTGAAGGTGGGTTGGCAGCACTGCGAAAAGGGAGCCTGGGAAGGGGGGTATAGGGAGGGCGGCCTGCGTCCAACTGCTTGGAATGCAAAGACGATAAAACAAAAAACTACCGAAGCGAGATCTATGCAATCTAGATTGGAAGCTTTCGTGACTGCAGGAATCCAAACTCTTTGGTTCTTTCGGTAAAGTCACGTAGGTAGAAAAAATAATAAGAGATCACGACGTTTCGATCGCAACACAAGCGGCCGTCCTCGGGCGGAAAAAAAATAATCTTGCAGTGGAACTGCTGAACCAGCTGGTTCATCTCTAGAAATCAACTTAAGCGGGGGGGCGGGGGGGAGGGCATATATTTCTACACTCTTCCTCTTGATATGTCCAGTCATAAATCAGAATATTTATACTGGAGGAATCCGATGAGCTATGAAGCTCTTTTTCACAGATGTTCAGTAGTTTTTACAGATGTCCAGTGTCCGGCGATCAGCGGCTCGACACTTTTGTAAAGTGGGAGCCACCCGAGGGGGAATCAAAAACTTTGGTTTTTAACGTGACACCTCGTAGGTGTATTAACCAACCTCAGCGAGGTACAGCTAAGCCATCTTGACTCTCCAGTGCAGGGGTCAGGAATCAATTGCGAAGATTATTGCGTGGTTGTGTGCAAGACGCTGCCAACAGACAGAGTGCCAGGTTTGACTCGGGGAACGTGAACCCTAAGAAGGTTTGCAATATTTACACGGATGTGTTTAGACTACGCCTTTAGTCGCGGTAATTATAAAGAATCAATGCATTTGCAAGGTGGAGTGGTGGTGCAGTGTGTATAATGCGCTGCACTATCAATCTGACGACCCGAGTTTGACAGCTAGTGATATTACAACTGGGCCTGGACCACCACCACCAACACCACCACTTCACCAACTCCTACTAACCAGTGTGGTGAGGTATGGGCAAAACAACCCTCACGACTTTAACATGGCATGGGAATGCCTTAATCCAGAAGTGGATTGACGAACGGCTGTACATACATTGCATTTGTAGATTTGATGCGTGTGCTAAGCCAAGGGTACAATTCCGAATTGCGTTATGCAAGATAAAAGCTAGGCGTGAGGCATGTGAACGATTGTGTTGCAAAGTATGTATATATGTTGAACTTCTCTCGCACCGTACGTGGCCAACCGTGCTTACCAGAGGTGTGAAAGGACATGTCTATGAAACACCCACAAGTTGATATCGTGGATGTCACAATTCACCGAATAAGCAATTAAAATCGATGTCCTTAAAGCAAGGCTTACCGAGCAAATGATCACCTGTACGAACATGGTGGTACAAATTAGTTGAATAGAGTCGTGACGCCGAATCGCGACGATTCATCAAATCAACGGGCATCTCAATCTTACCACCCACCGTCAACATCAATAACCAACGCCGGTTCGCAGAAAAAAAATTTAATCGGGCAGCCAACGGAAATTTGAAATGTATTCGCAGATGAGGATGAGTTACTACCACGCCGTCCACATGGCGGATTCATCAAGACCGTTTCGGGCACCTTTAAGTGATTTGAAAGACGCGTGGAATTAACCGCAGTTCCTCCCCGTGGGCACGAGTGAGTGAGCTATGGGGGACGCATAAAGCGCGTGAACCGGGTCCACTATAAATTACCGCCATATCCCGCTGCTTTATCAGTGCGCGCCACAGTGGCCCCGCAGGCTCTGTATAGCTCAACTAAACCGGCTCAGATTAGACAACGCCACCAGTGTCACTCTCAGCTTCCTGCAGGAACGCACTTAAAATTAGGGTTGTTGTTTTTGTTTTGCGCCCGTAGTTTGTTAGGATGCCACTTTGTAGATTGGATTAAAAGTTGGCTTCTTATTCCAATGAGCGTCTCTGGTGGGTTTTTTTGTAAATGCTT